GAAGTAGCCAGCCATGGAAGCATGCACAGAGAGTTTCTGGATGGGAGCTTCTAACAAGCCAGATGAAACCAAACAAATGAAAACTGGGAGCAAAAGAAAGCTGAGAAACAAATGCCAGGTGAGATGGACATGAGAACCAAGCAGACAACTCAAGGGAGAGGAGGAACAGGCCCCTCTCCACCTGAGGAAAGCTAGTCCTGCCCCGTGGGGCTGGGGTGATCTGGTCGCTTGGTGAGAACAACTCCATGTGAAGTAACATAAAGGATGATACAAAGGAAAAAGAAGCATTGCAAATTTAAAAAAAAAAAAAATACATGTAGCATGTGCCTACCATTTTCCAGATAAGAAGGGGCCGTACCTTCTGACGGGTCTAGGCGGCGGGCCCGCCTCCCGTGTTTGGAATTGTTGTGCACAAACATGTTGTCAGACACGGCCAGCACGTGGCCGTCCACGTTGACTGTTGTCGATACAACGACCTGTGAAGACGAAGTGGATTTGAAAATGGAGTTGGCACAGGAAAGCACAGGCGGGAGCCGTGCAAGCGAGATAAAAGCCAGCTCGGAGGCTGCACTGAGGAGAGGCTCCACTCGTTCTGGAAACTCTCCACTAACTGAACTGCATTCACAGCTTTTTTTTTTTTTTTTTTTTTTTTTTTTTTTTTTTTTTTTTGGCTAATGGGGGTGGGTTGTTTTGTTTTGTTTTGACTCAAGATTGCTTCTTTAAAAAAAAAAAAAAAAAAAAACCTGCTCCACTAATTAGGGTTTAATCTCTTATTATGCTAACAAGTGGATTCAATTCAGAGAAATATTCTCCTAGCCATTAGCTTCCGAAATACCCCTCTAGCCACTCATTTGAAAGCCTCTGTTTTGATTGATCTGCTCACATATTGATTAGATAGTTTATCTAATTTAAATTAGTTCATTGGAGACTAGCCTGTCTTGAAGACCTAAGGGGGGGGGGAGATTCAGTTGTCCCCCCAAAAAAGCTTCATAAAATCAGGGTTCTCTCTGAAACCCCAGCTATCCCCATTCTATCACCAGATGATCCCTGGATCAACTGTACAATTATGTTTAATTTCTGAGAATGAAGTTCTTTGCACCTGAAAAAGAAACAAATTGAATTTGAATTGTGGAAGTGTTTTTCAACCCAGGAAAAGGACCTTTCTCAAGTTCATATGGAAGGGTGGCAAGGGCCCAAGAGAGGCTAAGAGCATGTCCAAGGGGAGAGAAGGCAGAGCAGACTTCTTGGCTGCCTCATGGGAGGAAAAAAATAAAGCCACCATATACAGGGAGACCACCTTGCTGATGCCAACTGTCCTCTTCCCAGTGAGCTCACAGGAAGCACCTCAGAAATGGCACCCTTCAGCAGACCCAGGCAACAGCACAGGGTAGCCTGGCTGTTACATTTCTAACACAGCTGGGTCAGTATGGCACACTGCTTTCCAGGGGACCTGGAAAAGCAAAGGGCTCAGCCTTGGTATAATGTGGGACTTGAGTCTGGATTTGACAAAAGGGATGCCTGGCTTAAGCACTCCTAGAGCCCTACCTGGCCAGGTCCTGGGGCCAGCTCCTCCTGAGAACACTGAGCAGGAGAGAGGGGAGTGAAGTCTGCCAGATAAATTGAAGATGACAGGCCAACTAATGCTACCAAGGCTACAGCAAGCAAGTAACTAGTACTTTAGTACTAACTAGTAGTAAGTCTCCTCCAATACAAAAATACATCACACCAAATATGTTTATGACAGGGAAAACTGAAGTGAGGGACCCAGGGCATTGGGAACTCTTAAAAACTACTACAGTGATCTTTTATAAACCCAAAATGGCACCAAGAGAAAGCCTATTAATAAAATAAATAAAACAACTTGACTTTTAACTGGTGAAAGACAAATAAATAGTATTTTTGCTAGACACAGTGATACATGCCTATAATCCTAGCACTTAGAAGGCTAAAAGCAGGAAAATAGTAAATTCAGGGCCAGCCTGGGCTCCACAGCTAGACTCTGTGTCAAAGAAACACATACAAACAAGTAAACAAAAAAAGTATTTTAGGTGTAAAAAAGAGCAAAGCTATAAGCATATATAAAAATATGTGTGTAAAGAACTGACTTTTAAAACCTCAAGCCCCATAAGATCATGCATGGTGCAGGGGCATGATATGATACACACCCTCAGCTACAGGGGGCAGTGTTCTTGAATTCCTTCCCTCTTTATGTCTGCCAGGATAACAAGGCTTCAGTAACATCAGACTGTCTGAACTGAGAATACAGTCAGTTACAGCCATGGTAGCCACTCTAGTTTCAGGTTTAAGCACCCTCTGTTCTGAATAGCTGGCATTTCCTTGGGTGCCCCTGGTGCCACTATGGTGTCACCTGTGGTCTAGCAATCTCTGCCCGAGCTCCTGTTTGCTAAGATCTTCCCAGCCTCCACCTGTATACCTTGCCCTGAGCATTAAAAGAACTTCCCGGAACACATGGCCTGAGAATGGTACAAAGACCTGACCAGTATCGAGGCTTGACTTGACCAGGATATACTAAAAAGACATAGGGAAAGGTAAAAAATAAAATTGTTTAAAGACACTGTGCTCTGTCATCTATACAAAAACCAGTCACAAGGGGAAAGGGAGAAAACAGATACTGTGTTGCAGGTATGGGCCAGCCCTGCAATACACCCATAGGAAGACACAGAAAGGGTGGCACCATTGCAAGCATCAAGTATGCCATGCTATGCAGAAGTCCAGGTAAACCTTCTGAGAGGCAGGGAGACTAACGTTACGAGAGTCACTAACTATGGTGATCTCACCTGGTGACATCAACTGTGATGAATGCCATTCTCCATCACTGATGAGACAAACAGGACCCTACTACTCCGTCTCATGTGACCTCCTCTGCCTAGATGGACCGATTTTGTCCATGCCTGTGGTCTCTTAAGTATTTAAAAAAAATGGAAGCTGGCCCAGTACTTTACAAGAGATACAATTCCCTGCCATGAAAGCCAGTATGGGTGAACAGGGACCTGCTTCCCTGAAGAGCCATAAAGGCAAAAGATGGACATCGCATACTTCCCTGAAGAACATGTAGAACCCTACAAACGCTGTGAGCTACATGACCAACAAAGGTGGCATCCCAAGTAAGAGTCTCTCAGTAATGTAGCTAATCTAGGATTCATTTCCATTCGGTGCTTGGGTCTTCTAATTTTACAATGAAAATCAGCAAGACAGTCTATCTCATACATAGAGTGTCCATGACCCCAACTGAGCCTTCTGATCATCCATAGGGATGAGAAAACTATGGATTCTGTCAGAACTTGAAGTCAACAAGCAATCTTCTCCCTTTCAGACCAAATCCTCATTGCAAATGGGCATGTGCAAGCCTAGATCCAGAACAGGCTAGTTGTAGCTGGACTCTGAATGGACCTTGGAGGGTGGGGGAATTTGTGGAGGCCTATGCTAAGCAGGGGCAGGCCCTTTATGAGGAGGCTCCAGACTCCAAGATACTAGAGAGTTTGTATTACGGTTCTTTTCCCTCTTGCCATCCCCATACACAGCGACAATAAATCAGCTGGCCATTTGATCCCTAAAACTGTGCATCTTCAGCCTGGCCAAGCTTTCAGAGCTGATGTAAGGCTGTGGGAAACATGATCATCTTGTCTTCTCTGTCCCTGCACAGATTCATGTATCTGGCATACTGAAAAGACTTGATCATTTAAAAAGCATTTTATTTGTCTATTCCTAAATTATTTATTTAATCTTATGTGTATATGTATGTGCCTGAGTGCAGTAGACAGACCACATGAATGAAGATGCCCTTGGAGGGCAGAAGAGGTGACAGATCCCACGGAACTGGAGTTAGAGATGGTTGTGAGCGTCTGTGTAGATACTGAAAACTGAACCAAAGCACAGTGAGCATTCTCAACCACGGAGCCATCTCTCCAGCCCCTCATTTGCCTATTTCTATCAAACAAATCAAGCTAGTGCATTGCTAGCCTTGAGGAACTAACAAGCTATCTGAAGAGTCGAGGACTCTGACAATTTGGCAGAGCGAGCAGGTTGCAGCAGCACCTTGAAGGGATTGCATACCTGGAATCTCCGCATGTCCCGGGGGTTGCCTGCATTCTTCAAGCAGTTCTGATTGCACTTGAGGAAGAACTTTAGAAAGAATCTACAAAAACACAAAGAATTAGGGTTAGCCCAAAAAAGACAAAAAAAAAAAAAAAAGACTTGCACACAAATAACAGAAGAGACCCCACAACCTGCTGGCTGCCATGTAGGGGGCAATGCTGAGTACAGCTGTGGGACTGGAAGATAGAGGCTCCTGGTCTCCGTTCTGAGTGGCAATTTGCACAGCTGTCTGACACCACAGATTCCCAAGATTTATAATAACTGTGTCTTTCCAAAGGATCTCATCTTGCAATGATTCCTGAATTAACTATTAGCCTTTAGAGAGACGCCCACCCCAGACAGGGACACTGGCATTGGCCAGTTAAGATGCAGAATGCCTAGTAAAATTTGAATTTTGGATAAGCAACAATTTTTTTTAGCACATGGGTGTCTTAAGGTAAATCTATGTAAAAATATCAAAGTTGAAATTCTATTGAATGTACTACATTTATCTGGAAACCCCAGTTTCCAGTGTTTATCTAGCTAAAGCAAATACATTATCAAAAACCAAGTTTTTAAAGTTACAGTGAAGGCGTGGGAGCACTCAGAATGCATTATATACAAGTATAAAATTGTCAAAGAATACATTTAATTAAATAAAAATAAAAACAGCTACAATAGCCTTAACCCTCCACAAAGGAACGGGGTATAGGGCTACCATGATTTCTGTGGACAGTTTCTATGCATTTTTAAGAGACTAGCTGGTGGGTTTTGGTGTTTTCACGAAAAGTCTTGCTCAGAAAGAATATAGGAGCAACAGGCCCCAGCCCTGGTAGGAGTGAAGAGGCCTAACAAGGAGGTCAGCTTCACCTCCCATCAACCTGGTCTTGTATGCAGCAGAAAGACTCAGGAGTTCTGAAGTGTGTTGAGAGTCTTCCCCATTCCTGCACAAACAAACGCTTTGTCTTAGTATGAACAGGTGGACACCAGGCAGCCTGGATGTGGGACACCCACTCATGGATCTTGTCCCTGCACTATCTCCGTCTCTACTTGCAAGGCCACATCCGGTGAGTAGAAGGTGGATTCCCTGCTAGCAATTCACCATTGGGGCTAAGAGCCTGTGCAGCAAGGTTACCGTAAAACAGCTACTCTGTTTTCTCCCCAAATGTCACCTGTCTTATTTGGAAGTGATTGATGTTTTATGGTACTTCATAAAATTTCCTTGAATTCGGCCTTTCATGTTTGGGTTCTTCGTTAGCTACTACAATATGAGAAAACAAAAGACTCCTCGGAGTAAGACTTGCCTTCCCCACACATCCTGGAAGACCCAAGGAGGGCAGAAGAGAATCCCTTTGATGAGGCTAAGAATGGTGGCCATTCAATTAAATTTTCTTACATACCATGAGTCCTTGCTACTTTAGGCCAGAATTTACATCTTTTATTAACTCACCTCACCTATACACTTAGCTCACAATGCCTCTTAACACCATCTGCCATCAGCTAGAGCAAGTCACTTGATATTCCACCCACCAATTTTTCCTAACAACCACTGTGCAATTAAACTCCACACGTTCTGCAGCGAGGTAAATTAGGCGCACCTGCGGCCACACTGCATTTGAACTGCATCAGAAAGGGCCTAACAAGGTGAGGGCGCCACAAAGTTATCGTCCTGTCAGGCAATTAGGTTTTCACTTCAGGGACAGCCACACGGTGCAATTATGCCCCACATTACCACCCGGCTAATCTTCTGAACAGGCGCCGGCGAGAAGCTGCTCATCCGCAAAGGTACCTACGAGGAGCTGGTGTTGGGGCCTTTACTTTTTTTTTTTTTTTTTTTTTTTTTTTTTTTTTTTTTTTTGGAAAATGAAAGATTTCTCCCCCTCCTGAGGAGGTTGTTCTACATTCCTTGAAGTCTGTTTAGCCAGCTTGGCCTTTTTACCTCAAAGATAGCAGAGTGGGTTTTAAAGATATACAAAGCGGCTCTGGGTATCCTGGGGTTTTAACTATCATCAGTTTAGAAACTAGAAGAGCAAAACTGGGTGCTGGATGCCACATGCACACTGAGCAGCTGGGAGCAGAAGTGGGCACAGACATCATGTACACATGTTCATGCGTGTTCGCTCTCTAGCATGTGGCAATCACAGCTCTTCTTACAGGCAGAGTGTGTCACAACAGTGGTTGTGGGCAAGTGAGAAAGATCTACTGGGAACAACCCCTATGTGGAACAGGGTCGTTTCCAAGCTCCCAGGCTCCAATGACACAAGGTACACTACAAGCCAGTACCACCTTGCCAGGCCGGAGGGAAACCTCTGCACACAAGCAGTGCTTATTTTACCCCTGGTTTTGCTTCTCTTTAATTCTAGGATGCAATTAAGGATTCATAGGTGGGAAATGCAGCCCAGTCAAGGCGAGCATGCTGACACTGTGCACTGTTGCGTGGGAGTGGACGCGCTCCATGAGGTGTGCTGTTGCAATGTTTGGGAAAGAGGTAAGAAGACTGAATGCCCACGCATGGAGTCCAATGGTAATTCCCACATCCTTTACTCAATTACCCTTTAATTGGCTGTTTCCTAAGAAATATCTGACAACCACTTTACATATCTCACTTCCAGAGTCTAGTACACAAAGGATTTAATACTCCTGTTATGAGAGGAAAAATCCTTCCTATGTCAGAAAATCTTTGGCTTTAGCACCAATAAACTCTTTATTATTGCTAAATGTGGATTTGCTGCTCAATCGCAAAGAGGCGATAAAAATTCTAACCTGTCATTAGTACATTATGCTTAATTGTGTACAGTGTGTTTCCCTGGCATCTGCTGGCCCAACGTCAAAATGACCGTTATGTGCACTAATTCCCTGACCCCATCTTTATTTCCCTAAAGACTCATCATCTTTCACAGTAGGTACCAGAGTAAATCAAGCTTGAAATATAGGCTTTATTTACTTGTTTCTTACAGGCGGAGGGGATGACAGTGGCTAAAGACAAACTGCTCCACACCACACTATCCCCAAGAATATTCTGCTTGGAAACATCATGAAAAATTCCAGAAAGTTCTCAGGCAGAAAGTAAGATGCCATACTGTGGAAATAGGCTTTCCTCAGTGTTGCCCGGATTAGAACAGACGGCATGATGCTATTCTCCCTTTATTCTTGGGAGGGCTGGTTCACTCTTCTAATGTCTGAGATCCCTGTGATGACAGGCTGGGAACATGAGGACACAGCAAAGCCTTTGCCTGGAAAGACACTAGGCCTAGCCCAATAGCTTGAGTTTAAGTTGGAAATCCCCTCCTGATGGGACACTCATCCTCCTGCTGTGGAAGGGTTTGGCCATGGCACCCAATGAGGAGAGCTCAGTGTGATGGTGCTGTATCAGAGACCCAACAAACAACTCCAATGTTAGCATGAGTACAGGACCCACAGGGGAATGAAGCTGCTTCAGGAGAAGCTTGAACAAGTAACGGGACCTACCATCTCCAACATGGGTATCCCAGGATAAGGGGTGAACAGAGCCCCCGCCACAGTAACTAATCTCAAAGTCGGCTCCATCTCTGTGTGTTTAAGCTATGAATTAGTTCATTTATATTTACTTTTATGAAGCTGATTAACTGAAGCTTCTCTATCTGATGAAAATCATTTTAATTGTAGTGTTAGGCTCCTGTGTAATATCCATTACATTATGAACTGTTTAAATTCTACATGGGTATTGTGTAAATTGGCCCTTTGTGAGCTAGCAGGCAATTAGGACCAAACAGCTCTCCTTTAAACGGCTACAGAACTTTGTGGTGGTGTTCAGGACAATCAGAGACAAAGGAGGCTGTTTAATTGTAATTTAATGGAATATCAAGGAGTCCGTGGCATTAGACGCTGGCAACAGAGAGCAGGAGAGAAAAATTAACTGCAATTATGTTTGATTAAAGCTATCCTTCTCAATAATCAGCAGTCCTGACAGGCCATGGGGCTCTAGTGGGCTCCAGGATGGCAAAAGGTGTTGAGCAATATTAGGGCCAATAAAGGGGATATTAGCATAGCTAATTACAGCCCTGCAAAACCTGTAAAGGGGGCCTCTGTGTATTGTAATGTGGGAAATAATTGGCCAAGGCCGTTATCAATTACATAAGGAATGAATTTGGTTTGTCAGAGAAAAGCTGATGAGATGCCTCTCATCTGACACCAGCCCTTCCTTCATGTTTCCAGGCAGCTCTGAACTCACCCACGTCCATCAAGAGCCCAGCTACCAGTGGCCAAGTCACTGATAAAATCGGCCTGCCAGCAAGAGTTAGGTAATTAATACCACTCACCTCCCTCCTCCCCCCAATCCTCGACACTGACGTTCTTACCCAACTGAAGCCACTAATCATGCAGTAATGATTTCTTTCCCTCTGGTCAAAGGAAAAAATAGTTCAGCTCCATAGAAATGTGGCGGCCTTTGAGGGTGTACTCTGGTGACTGAGGGGGACAAGGGAACTTGGAAGAGGTCGCACTGTGAGCTCCTTCAAGCACCTTTAAGCACACGTGACTATGGTTCATTTGAAGGTTTCAGGTCCTCTGAAGCCCTGCAGTCCTCTATGGGGACTTTTATTTAGTTAGTTTTGGGGTTGTCAAGGAATAGACTGTTCCAGAGGAGTTTGAAAATGTGAGTGAGCAACAGAGCGCTGGATGGCCTCAGCCCAAACATCCCTGTGAAAGACACGTGGTCAAGCTAAGCAGTCCAAAGCACTCTGGCCTCTCAAAGGTTAAGTAGCCAAACTCAGAGAAAAAAGCTATGGCTTCTCAGGATCCCTCCCCTACCTGGTTCCAGCCTGTCGCTAGAGGCACAACCTTCTAGCCCATAGCCATGTGCAGCCTAGGAAACTAAAGGCCAGAAGGAAAAATATGGGGTGCTCTTTTATGGGGTGGAGTGGCTCACTCTTAGCTCTGAGTCTGAGCCTTTAATGAGGGTGATGATGGGTAGGGCCCCAGTCTATCACCCAAAATCCCAAAGCATCCCTGTATAGGTTAGGCTGTAATGACACTGTGTGGGCTTCAGGGAGGGGTACACCCAGCCATTGCAGATAGGTCCCC